TCTCCAGAAAAAGTATCTCCCCCAATTCACTGAGCTGCTCACCAAGCTTCTTGCCCAACCAACACAATTCCATGAATGGCCAGTGCATTTATCAGCCCGCATTGTTTTCCTGATGTGCATTGGTTTTTTATTTGTTGACACTTTTCCTGATATGCATTGGGTTTTTATTTGTTGACTCTTTTCCCCAATGTGCATTGGTTTTTCACTTATTCCTGATGTCCACTGGTTTTTTTCTTCCACAGGTGTCAATCTACATGCACAACTTTACCATCCACAGCTTGGACATTCCTCTCAACATCAATGACACAGCAACTTGCCTATTGAAGTCTTATGGTGTTGGATTCTACATCTCCTCATCTCCCTCCAACATTGCCAATGCCATCACCTCACTTGAGTCACACTCCACCCTCCAGGTCTTCCACCTACTCCACTTCTACCCCAACTTACTCCAGCTCCATGCCCACCTCTCATCAGTGGCTTCAATGTTCTCATCTTCAGCCACAAGAGGGTTAACATGTCCACCATCTGGCATCCTCTGGCCAGCAACACCATCCCTGAACCCTTCTGCTATCTGCACCACATCCCCATCCCACACCCAACACATGAGGTTGTCCACTCTGCTCCTGCTTTCCTCACTGCTCAATCATCAGACCACACCCCACTTCACATCAGCCTCTACAGCTTCCTCATCCAGAGCTTAGAGCTTCCCAATCCTTCTCCCCACCCCATCACATTGCCCACCACCCCCTACCACATTCTCTATGAGGCAAATCCCACCTACTACCTCTCCTTCTGTGCTGCCCTTTACTCCAGCTTTGTCTGCCTCTCCTCTACCCCCATAGCAGAGGGCAACATCTCCTCTATTGGCAACTGGCTCCTCACCTTCCACTCTAAATTCCTGGAGGAGTCAGATCTCACAGCCATCACTTCCTTCCTACAAGGCCTAACTTCACATCCTGCCCTTGCCCCTCTCACACCCAAGACCAGCTCCTCCTCCTCTTCCACGTCC